TTCTATGTGGGCCTCACCAAAAGGAGGCTCAGAGAGAGTGGCTGACCACAGATATGTCATTTGCTCCAAAAACCTAAATTATCTAATGGCCAAACATGGAAGCTCACCATTCAAATGACTCGACCCTGAAAGTATATGGCAATCACACTGGATGCCAGAGGTGAGCACAAGATCCAGCACCTGAAGCAAAGAGAGATTATTGGATTTTAGTTCTCAAGGCCACAGAGTAACCAGTTCTAAATTAAAACTTCGATCTCTCCTGCTACCTATAACCTTAATTTACATGGAAATGTTAAACAAAAATATCCGCTCTAAGTAAAAACAGTCCAATTTGACTGCCCTTTAGTGCTCGCTGTAAAAATGGTCCCTGCTAAAATAAAATGGCTGCTCTCTAGTGCCCTCAATGAAATTGTTCTGAAGCTAAGAAGTTACTACCCCTTGTGCCCAATCAGAAGAAATGAATGAGTGAAGCCTCCGCCCTGCATACCTGGAGTGTGAGAGCTTAAATCGGTCCTCACCTCTCATTCATGATCACACACTGAAGAAGACACAAGCCGACACGTGTTGGTGTATTTTTAATGCTTCCTGCCTGCTCACAATAGAGGCTTTTTAATATTTTGTAACTGAGTGCCTGATATTTTTCTTTTTCTCAATGAACTACACCCTTCTTCACAAGCAACCTTAGCCACATGGATACCAGCAGCTCTGTCTCTGCTGTTTGTGTTTTTCTTTGTACTTTTGCTTTAATTTGCAGAGCTGCATCTACCAAAAACACCTAATGTCAAATCCTGTATTATTTAGCAATAGTGAATTCATCCAACCAGGTTTAGCACATAGAATCCCATCTGACAGTCCATCTGGCCCTTACATTATCAGTCTAACCAACAGACTTAAAGCAGCTCTATACACTCAGCTTCCCACACACTCAAGGACCACTTTCTTCAGGAGAGATTGACCTGCCAATCTGTTATTGATTTGGGAACGACCAATACAGGGAGCCCCACTGTCTGCTACCCTAGCTGCACGCCCTGTCTGCTTACCAGGACGCCCACCCTTATGCACCCATCCACACTCCCACACACCCATTTTTCAGGCAGACCAAATAGAAGGGCTAGCATTAATCACCTCTTGTTTCTGCTGTCTCTGGCCATAGGAAAAATCGCTAGCGGATTGCACCCCACACACCAAGTCTCCCATGTAGCTTATCTCTCCTCTCCCCACCTTATACATCTTTTTCTCTCTGAAAACCACCTCCAGTGTCACTGTATGCGAGCTGTTGCTGTCAGCTGCTATGGCGGACGGTGAAATTGAGGATTTAGATTCAGAAAAACCCACAGTAGTCAGCACAAGGCGGGGTGATGCTGATGGTCTGATAACCTTGAGGAAAATATCATGGTGGTCACAACTGTAAATGCCTTAAAATGGGGACTACACGATTTATATGCTGTAGATTATAGGAAAAGTGTTCATCTTTTGATATTTAAGAGAACATTCTGTGTCAGATTTTAGGTTCTCATACTGCACTGTCTAATAAGAGGAGCTCTGATTGGCTGTTCAATAATGAATGTAATGGTATTAAAGCATTCATTCTTCTTTTTGTGCTTTTTAAGGCGTACATGAGTTGTCAAAATTAACATTGGCCTCGAGGTGTGTACATACGGTGTACATCTGGTTGGAAAGATATGAAGGTATCTAAGGAGCTTTGAGATGAAGGGTCCACCATCTGATAGTCTCCATGGAGATGTTATTGTGAATGTTCCACAGTATGACAATAAATCTGTCCCCATACAGACAAGCAGGTGATGTCATCAAGCCAAGTGACAGGTCAGATTTACGAAGAGGTAACCCTGCTCACAATAACGATGCATGCTTTACGAGATATCTTTGTAAACTCTAAAAGGTGTGTTTAATGCCAAATTGTGGAACACTACAAAGCAACAACATCTACATGGAGACAAGCCTCCAAAGTCACTTACGTTGTAGGTAAAACACATAAAACCACACGTGCCCATCTGAAAGTGCACTTAATGTAAAACTGATGCCAAATCAATATGTTAATCATTGTACAGAAGGGGGTGGATGGCTTTCTGCGGTAAATACAATGGTCAAGAAATTGGCTTTAAGCACTTGTATTATTCAAAAAACGATGATTGACACTGACAGGAAACCAATCAAAAGTGTGTAAATAAACTGCCCCGCCCTCTTTGTCTGCTTTACCATTTCCAGGATCAGGCCGGCTTCACTCCATTGATCCGTGTGTTTTCACTGAGCACGTCTCTTTGCCAGCATCATTGATCCATTCAAATAAAGAGTGGATTCTCCATAAACGCATACAGCCCAGTGCTCACTGTGCTCCCAGACTGCAGGGTGCAAAACGCCTGTTATCGGCCGCTTACCCATCAGCCCCAGCGCCTCCCACCGAGATCAAATCATATTTAAGCAATTAGTGTAATAAAGGAAAAGGCTGTACATTTAGAGACGCATGACGAGTTTGAATAGAGAGCATCTACCCCCTGCTTTGGAGCAATTTCACTCCAATTTCATAAGCTAGGTGAGCCCAGAATATGTTAGTCTTACCTTCACAAATGTGGTAGTATTAGTAATATTGGTTCATGTTTTCATGCATCATTATGTAAAGTGTTTTATAGGAACAACACAGACCTGCTTATACACTGTTGCGGTGTGTCAGCAGAATCAGCATGGATTTGGACAGGTCCTTGGTGCTGAAATAAAGGATCTTCTCTCAGTGTCAACTGCCAAACACTGTGGTTAAATATATTACAGACTGTTAACAATATATGAATCCTTTTCTCCATGGAGTAAATTCTAACATTTTATAGTAACGTTTATTACTAACACCAAAAACATGCATTATACTGTGAGGAGTCTCTCTACAGATCTAACCAAGTCAATAACAGCTCCATGGAGACATGCAGGTGACAGATCCTCCAACAGAAATGTTATAAAGTGCATTTTTACTATTCTTTAATTTAGAGCAATGATTTTGACCAAGTTGAAAGAAACAACACTTACTTTAGCAAAGATTTATTATTTCATATTTAAACAAAACAATGACTAAAAAATAACAAAACCAGCACATATTTAACGATGAACTTTCAGACCCCAATCATAGTCTAAAACTATAAGAAATTATTTGTGTAATAACCCTCCAAATGATTCTAAACAGTAGCAATATCACACTTGGAGAAGCACTGTTCCAGTATACATCAGAAAACCTTGTCAAAAAAGCTTACCTATCCTTCTTTGCAGCTCTTTGTCATTGTTAGCATCCTGATAGGACGTGGGGTACAGTAAATTATTAGGTATACATAGCCATCAATTAAAGTATTGTTTTCTCTGCATAAACCAAAATAAATCACTGCAGGGCTGTCTCCTGTTTCTATGGCTCACATTTGTCACAGAGTCAGTCGATATGTCTCCAAAATTGGTTGCTGTGGGGGAAGCTGTGTTGTTTTGTCATTTCCTACATTATGAACTGGAGATATTTGTCCTGGGGAGTGATGCATGATGACTATGTACATAAGCAGAGCACGCTGTTGTGGTTTTCTCTTCCACTCCATCAGGTGGTTCCCAGGGTCCTGTGGAGGTTTTTGCCCCGCGGTGAGTCCTTTTCTACCAAAACACCCCCTCCCCTCATTTCCTGCTGGGGCTGTGTATGCAAGCACCTGCCTCTGCCACGCTGACTGACCCAGACAAGGACGATGCATAAGTCAGTCTGGTTCGCTGTGGCAATTCATAAGACCTGGAGAGGGAGGAAAATAACAGACCTACTACCCATACGGCTGTAACATTGCATCCCTATTGACACTTTGCAGCTGATGTCATCAACGTTCCATTGTGTTTTTAGACTCCATACAGCTTCACTAGAATCATTTGGACAATTTTATCCCTGAAAATGTCATTCTCTACTCAACTAAAAGTAAAAGGTAGCTGTTAACTTGAAAACTACGGCTTCATGACATCCCATTGAAGGGAGCATTTTGAGCTGTGGAGATGTAGACAGACAAATAATGCAGAATTATTCAAACTCATGTGTGAATGAAACAAAACACAACTCCCTGAATGTCCCTCAGGATCAATAAAGTCTCTCTCACTCATGTTTTTTGATGAGATGACAGCATTTTAAAAAGGCTTAAAGCTCACAAGGGTAAATTTTGCGTAACATAGGACTTTAAGTAAAGTGCAAGTTCAAGGATGTGAAAGCCCTGGGCAAGAATTAAAAGCAGGAAAAATCATTCTGAACCAAAGGCAAGGCACATTACAGTGTTTAGCAAATATATACAAACCATTCATTTATTCACAGCCCAAACATAGTAAATTACCAAAAATTACACACTTTTTCTTTAAATACAGATATTAAATGTTAACAGATGAGTATTAAATTTAAAATTAAAATGTGGATCTAAAATAATAAATAAACATTTTACTTTAATGTCACCATTATTCTGCCTAGATGCATTTATAGCCTAAGTATTTCTGCTCAATTCTCATCTTGAGTTTGTTGAGGCCTCAGAAGGAGGAGCCGGCCCGATTCGCGCCCCCATCCGTCGCACCAGAGTAAGCTTGTGATGGACCACCACTGGTTCTCACAGCTTCGTCTGTTGCCATAGAGAGACGAGATAAATACAGGAAGTGGATCATCTGGACCTCCCACAATAAAAATGGAGACTAAAATAGTCAAATAACCTTTATTGGGGACGTGTAATGCCCAAATGCCAGATTTTATTACAGAAAAGGTTGTTATTTTGACGCATAGGTTTTAGAAATGTTGGCTAAAAAGAATTTTAAGAGACTTGGCACTTTGACAAACCTACATTTGTTTTATTTTGAAAGCCACATCAGGAAGTGGTTGCCCGCACCTTGTCTAGCTTTATTATATATGGTTGTTACATTGAGGAGTGGGAGAAAAGGGGCAAATGTGCGCTGTGGCGGAGAAGCAAGGAGGACAACGAGTGCGCAAATACGTGTCCAGACAGACCACCGTCCCGGGGCTGATCTCTCGTGTCTTCACCCTCCAGCTGTGAGCCTGTCTCGGGGTGAAGTGTCCAGCAGCATTCGCCAGGCAGTCGTTACCTTCAGCACACACTTTCTACGGAGCTCGGTTATTCTTAGCTCAGCTGCGCGAGAGTCTGTCCTTCCGGTCCTCCTCTTGTTTATCCCAGTTTCTTGAATATTTAATGGAAAATGGCGATCTGCGCACAGTCGTATGGTATTTTCTGCCTCTTTACTATCCAAACTGTACTTGTCCTATACGTCTCTACGCCGACCACCGGGACCCACCTCTTCCCCCAGCACTACACGTAAGTACCCGAAACGCGCCTGTCGGGGGAGAGAAGCTGGTAGCTGAGCCCGGGAACTAGGACAGGTGGCCCCGTGGAGCATACCCGAGCATCCTAGTGTGCCTCGCCGCGAAACGGGCTCCTGTCCTGATGTAATACACACGTTGCCCTTGTCTGTGTGTCGACCTTTTTAATCGTTTTGTATTTATTTTGGTGCGTAATTCATTTTGACAGTAAAGCCGCGTGTAATGCGAACGCACAGGTGCCGCCGGTGAAGAGCCTGAATCCACTGTGGCTCTTCTATTGAGAGAACCTGGGGCGAAATGAAGCGATAATTAAGGATGTGTCGCTTTGCTGCCTCCGTTTAGAGAATACACTTTCCCATTGTGACGGATGGAGAGCAGAGTTTTCAATAGTGCTGTGTATTTTACGCGCAGTGTCTACATAGTTTGTCCAGTAGTAGTATTATTTTGAAATGTGGGCTAGAACCAGAATGTTATATTGATTTGACACAAAGCAAATACGGATTTTGCCTTTGGTATGGGGCATAGTAAAGAAAACACTGTTTGTAAATAAAACAAAAATCCAAGTATTGTCTAGATGCGCATGGCACCAAAGTGTAGTGCGTAGTTTTTGGCACACACCTGTTAACCGCTCTGTATACTTCTACTAGTAACAACACTGGCTAAACAAACATATTTGAAGTATTCTTTAGAGATTGCTGTTGCAGTGAGGGAGCTTACAGATCCATGTGTGATTGTGCCCGTTTTGAAGATGAGTGCGTGGTGATGTGCGCTGATATAGCCCCCAGTGGAGCTCGCGCTGTCGGTTAGTTGAATGGGAAGGATCCAAAGAGTCTGATTCACTTGTGCTTTACGTGAGAAGGCTCGAGGCTTGGTCCAGATGCCCAAGGTGACTTTCAAAAACAACTGCCTTTTCGCCAGCCTCATTAACTTCGCACTGTGCCATTGATTTTATTACTAACCCAATAAAGAACAGTTTTGAGATGTAGTAGAGCATTGAAATAGTTTGACAATGTAATCAATTTCAGATGTGCTTAGAAAACTGTAAAAGATTATGCCACTAATGGCCTATCACTAACTGCACTCGTTTTTCATATTGTGTAACTTATACTATTATGATAAAACAATGGTTGGATTATTTCTCTGCTCTCAATAGACTAACTGTTGATTCAAATCTTTATCTTCTCCGACCTTGCATTATAAATTCTCACATGAGCGATTCTTTGCACTATATTGTTTTAATTTTCATTTCAAGTTTCAAACATTGCCTAAACTGCTAGCCTATTACAGCTCTTATTTTATTGCTGAATTATACAATATGAGTAAAACTATAGTCAAAAATAAATCTAATGTTTTTTGTAGTGCTGCAAAAACAAACATACACCTTATGTTTTCTGATCGGTGTAATATTTGAGTTGGCAGTAAATATTTAATTTGAGCAGACTTTTTTCGTTTACATGGCTGGATTGTCAATTATGCACTGCGTCATCCATGCATCTGATCTGTATCTTGCTTTTACTACTGAATATTTGACTACAGTATCAATATATTCCCGTGTTTAACTACCTTGTGGTCTAGCATGCTTGGTTATTGCTGTCTTTGTTGGGCCTACCTTTTCTATTGATTAGCCTGTATCGCATAATTAATCTTTGTAAGCATTTTTTAACGTGACTTAGATTAGATTTAGATTAGATTAGTGTTAGCGCACTGTCTCTTGTTATAAAGTTGTTCTAATATTATGTCGAGGTGACCTTTTCTCTGCTTTTTCTCCCTTGGTAATATTTGAGGCCCAGTCTGAGTTGCCTTAGCTCACCCCCTAACTAGGCCTGCAACAATATCCGAAATATCACGATATCGTATTGTCAAAAGTCTCAAAATAATATCAAGAGTTGTCACTATATTGAATTACAAGTTCCTTTGCTTAAATGCATTATTGTAGCATAGGGAACCACATATACCATGATCCATTTCAGTGCAGACAACATGAAAAAGTATGTTTGTTGCTTTAATTCTAAGGATTATGACAGTAATGAGTCACACCAAAGGCTTGTTGAGGTATATTAAAAGCAAAAATGATCCTATCTACCTTTCTATTACCCTCTCCAAAATATATCGCAGTAAATATCGTACGGTGAAATGAATATCGTGAATATATCGCACCATGACATTTGGATATTGTTACATCCCTATCCGTATCTGTTTATTTCACATGTTGCCCCTGCTTCTCGGCCACGTGATTATAGCACTCGCTGTCACTCCTTGGGCAGATTTGTACAATTTAATAAATCCTTCTTGTCTTCTTGGTGAATCTGACATTTAAAGATGGCATTTGTCTTTGTCATCGTATTAAAAGACGGATCGGGCTGCTGGCATGCCGCTGTTGATGTCTGTGATTAGATATCTGTCAGCTAGAAAGGTTGGCACAGATTCACTTACTATTGCCTCACAACAAACATTACCATCACCGATATAACATTTGTAATATTTTTCACACAATTCTGTCACAACATCTTAAGTGTTAAAAATATCAAAGACGACTCCTGGTTTCATTCTGGTTTAATCCTGCCTCAGTCCTGGTCTAGGCTTGTCTGACAATTTCACAAATAACAATTTAACTTTACGACTGCTGACTTTTGTTGTGGCCTTTTTTAAAATCGCTCTGCACACAAATTACAGCCATTTGCAATCTTGTCTAGTGTGAGCTTTCAGATAGGTAGGATGAGAATTTGAGTTCACTTCAATGTTTTTCAAACTGTGGCACAAGTACAAGTACAAGTGCCAGTGGGATATTTGGTCCTTTTGTGGTGGCATTTTGGACCATCTTTTATTTTAGCCGTGGATCGGTCTTAGTGTTGGCCTTGTTTAAGTCTAGTGGGATCATGTGAAGATAACTTATTTCACAATTAAAAGTGTTTTTCCACAGATTTGATTCATTCTGTTTTAGTATTTCTAAATTTCTGGTTTACATCTGGCTAGGGGTGTGCCATATGGGGGGAAAAAAAAAATCTAGATTTCTTTTTCTCCTATTGATAGATCTTGACTTTATTTGTCTTTTCAGAAAACAAATTCAAATTGCTCTCAGTATTGATTTCATGAACATAAACAATACACACTTTTAATCAGTGCCATTTAACTTAGAAACTAAACAAATGTCTTACTTCAGGAGGAGAGGGTTGTCTGTCACATCACGATAATAACTATATCCACGTTCAGTATATGATAGCTGGAACAATATATTTTGGAGCTCAGTATTTATTGTCTGTACAATTTCTTTGCCATAGTGGGGAGATTTTTGGTATTTTTGTTGAATTTTAATGATACTGTCTATATAAAAAAATGTTTATTGAGATGAACCTGATTTGTGTCAGAGGAATAAAGTAGTGTTAGTATTATTGTTTATCACAATACATCTCAATATATATCGTGCTTCAAAATGTGTTATCCTGACAGGCCTAGTTGGGAGAAATGTCTGTGTTTGATATGTGTGATATCCAGAAAATAGCGGATCACTACAGGTATTGGAAAGCAGTTTGTCCTATTGCCCATCCCTACCTTAATACTCTTTCTCCATTAAAATATCAGACAAATAGTCTTTGAGAAAGTACTTGTAAAACTTTTGCAGTCCAATGCATTAAGTCATTTGTTGCTGTCTGAGTTCTCCTCCAGTGATGCGCGGGCAGTTTGATCTCTTAATACCAAAGTTGGCTTGTTCTTACAGGGATTGGCTCTCGCTTAGGGTGCACTTCTGTCAGGCCTCACTAGTTTTACGGCCCAGGCGGAGATCCCAGCCAGCACGGAGGATACGCTTGTTCATGCCACTCTGGTCCAGTCATCAAAGATATATACTTCATATTGTTAAGTGGAAGTGATGTTGAAAGAAAGTGGTGATGACGAATACAGACTTAGAAGCTAATCTCAAGTTTCTCAAGGACACGGCACCCCATTACAGGTTCGGAATTTTAAAGGGGAGATATTAAACTTTTCAGTTGAGGTTCTGCCACCTGCTTGTCTCTATGGGGACATTATACCTTTGCCTGGAATGTTCCGCAGTGTGTCTTTAACCTCATTTATCTTAACACTTTAAGATACTAAACTTGCTTTTTCATTCCTCATAAATACAGTGTAATTACTGCAAGTGACTTGTAACTTGGCCTGCTTGTCTCCGTGGAGATATTCAATTATAAGGCCATAATGAGACAGTCATGGAAATAACATCTCCATGGATACAAATTTTTCTTCCTCCAAGAAAAGTTACACAGTGGGAATCAGCTGGAAGGTCCCCAAGCTGGAAAGTTCCTCTGAATTGTACCTTAAATTAGTTAATCTATATACATAGATATAAAAAAACAACAACAAAAACAACATTTTAAAAATTATATATATTGCATTAATCACATTATAATTATTAATTGGCAATACTTTACTCAGTCCATCTTCAGAACTTGGGCAGTGGGTCTTTAGATTATAAAATGCTGGTTCTATGTGGTCAGACGGCAAGATAATTCTCTCAGAAAATTCCTCACAGGTAACTTGTGGGTGTATGCTGACCTGAGTCCATATTCCTTCCTAATATGACATAAACAAGGCCCGACATTTGGTCTCGCTACATTCACATTTCATTTTGTTATGATATAGAATGCTGATTTTCTAACTCGATACATCACAGTGTGTGACGCGGCCTACTAAAGGCCGGCGAGAATGCACAGCAGTTACCTGTGTGCCGCCTGAGAGAAGGGGGCACTCAGAGGGAGCTGGGACTTTCAAGCCAGGGGGACGTTCGAGCCGGTATTCTACACAGTGGATCTTTTAATGTTGTCCCATAGTTGCTAGCCATAGATGCTTGAATGGAACTGAACTAACCAAGCGACTGCACTTTACTTACTTCTAATGTTTTGTTAAATTTAGCATTAGCATTACTTAATTCATGTTAAACCAGTTGTCTTTATTTGTTATATTTCTGTCTGAGTTCAAACCATTTAACATCCATCATGTCCACTGACTTGGTCTCTACTTAACTTCATTCATTCATGGGGTTCAGATTTTACTTGTATTCATCAGCAATAATGTTTTGCTGGCCTCATGAATAACATCTCCATGGAGACAAGCATGCAAGTTACAACAAGTTACAAGTTACAAAATGCAAAAACTTATTATTCACAAATTGAATCTGTATTTATTTAAATACATTGTTTCCTACAATTTTTTCCTGCATAAATACTTGTTTTTGCATGAACTTCCAAGCAGGTCATGAGCCTTTGCCACGCCCCCTTTCCACTCGACTAATCTATTGTTAGGACAAGTCTATAGCTGACTAAGTATTTCTTTAGTCGACTACAGACCTATATGCTGTAACAGTTCTTGCTAAAAATGTAGTAAAAACTCTCATCTTGCTTTGTTCCTCAGAATGATCCACTGGGCCGGGCGCATTGAGAAGGAGCTGGAGAAGGTCCTGCAGCACGTCACAGGGACACAGCAGATGAGATCGGTGAGTTCAGCCACTCATGTGACCCGCCACTTTGAAATCCATTATTTATCAGCACATTTCACGAGGGAAGGTTACACAACATACGGCTGCATGAGGGTGCACTTTAGAGCATGAATAATAACAAAACTAGCATAAGACGTTAGCTTCAGAGCCACACTACCGGAAGTGATGGATTGTGTCAGTGCTAATGTAATTCTATAAGAACAACAGAGGTGCCTTTGGTGCTTTTCATTTGACCTGGTCTTATGCCAACAAATGGGGATGGAAGATGTATTAAAAAATGTACATTGCTGCAATATGGAGTATATCATCTATAAATAAAACAAATGAAACACCTGATTAAAAATAAACTGAGCATGTCTAGTGTAATCTTCCAAACTGCCCTGGTTAATTTTATAATACTTTGCAGTGACGTCATGCTGAGGGTGTTCATCATGCATTTCTATGGTGACCGTGGATGCACAATGCACATATTAGCAAATACAGTCAAAAAAGTTTTCAGATTAATTTTATGTGTGAGAAACTTGTACAATACACAAATAATCTCACCTGATGTAGTTCCAAATAAATCAGGTCTTTGTGGTCAGACTATGTTGAAGTAAAGCCCAGATTAAAGATAGAGTAGTGTAAGCATCATACCCCCAGGGAATGTTGATGACATCAGCTGCAAAGTATCATTTGCTACCGAGATAATACAAAATACTTATAGTACAAAATATTACTGTGTCTGTTAAATCTAGTCTTGTGAACCCATTTTCATATTTTCTTGCTTTATATGTCTATTTTGGGCTGTTTGCAGTTGCTTCTTGGTAACATTGCTGATTACGTATAGCTTGTGCTGGAAATGTTATTGCTATTACAATCAGTATGTCGGCATTGACAATTTCAACATCTCATTTTGGACCTTCTTATTTTTGATTACTTCAACTGTGAAAACCTGCTCCATGTCTCTTTCTATATTTATTCGGTATCATATGGCCGACCAGCTGCTACAGTCATGACGTGATTGACGCTGTTTTGGATTATTTTGGCTTCACCACATGTTTCACCATTCTTCTGGGGTCCGTAAATCTCCCACTGAAAAATGTGCATGATTAGCACCGGGAAACAAAAAAACACTGACATCTGTTTGTTTCTAGTAGCACTTGAACCTGGTTTACAATGGTACTTCAACAGTACCTTTCCTGTTACACATGGTGGGATAATCCTTATTTACAAAACAAAACAAAATAATTCTTAAATTAAATAATACATTATTTCTTAACATGAATTACAATTATTTCTTTGCACAATTATAAGATATAGTTTGACCCGTAGTTTTAATATGACTTTGACTTTCTAAAGCTCTGCTCACTAAGCTTTAAAACTTTTCTGAAATAACATATGTTTGGTACCACTATCTAATATTAAAGTTAGAACTGGGAATCAGAGGGTCCCTCAGGATTTGACAGGATACATGGCTCTTTATATGATATTATCCAGATATGGCGATACATAATAATCAATAATCGATATATTGTACATGATATTGTGTGATATATAGCTGTTTTTTAAAGAACCAAACACATTTTAGTAATGATATTTCTTGTTAAACCACTACTTGTGTGAAGTTAGTATGAAATGCATCTAATTTTATCATCAAAACAGAGAATATGCCAAGTGTATTGTATAAATACTCCCCTACAAAGGCAGAACGCTGTAACATCATGCTTGATCAGAAATTAGTTAATGTCATGTCGGGGTATTTGAGACCTTCTTTATCATGTGAATAAATATTGTGAAAAATATTGAGCTCAAAATGGACCTTTGTGTTACTGCCTTTGCACGACTCCTTATTTTTGGCACATAATACAAAGGCAGTACAATAACTGCCAAATAAGGGTCAAAGGTCAATTTGGAGCTCAATATTTTTAGTATACAAATATTTCTTCATTATAACAACTAGTTGTCAAATTTTGGCAGCCCTACGTATTATACTTTTGTCTGGACAGAACAGAAACTTTGAAGTCATTTTTCTTAGTTTCACCCTCTTTTGCCTTTGTAGGGCAGAATAATCCACTAAAAATCACAAAAAATTGCTGATGATATATCAATACAGCATACCACATAATTATTCTGTATCACCAAATTTACTGTCATAATATATCAATATTTAGATATTTTTGCACACACCTATCTATTTTGGATACCAGTTAAATGTGTCTTTTTAATATATATAGTTATTGATGAACACTACCAAAACCTATGACGATTATATTGGTGACTTCAATGCATTAGGAACAGTCTTGTGATATTTTAATGCTATAGCTGTTGGAGATGTGCGAGGGCCAATTACGCGCTGGTGACACTGATGGAGCCCACAGAGGAGGAGTTGGCTGACAGGAATTGAGCAGGGGTAAAGGTTAATGGAGAAATATTTCCAGGAATAAAAATGACGAATGATTATAGCACATTTGTATCTTAGCAATATAGTCATCGATCCTTTTGCAGCTTATAATGTTTTTATAGCCATCTGAACCTTGTCTGGACTCTGTCACAGTCTTCTCAAATGTAAATTAGAGGATTTTATAATTGATTAGTAGTAGCCTATAAAGTACTATATGCATTGTAAAATCTAAAAGGCTATTATCAGTAAATAAACTTTATTTATATAGCTCTTTTCACAGATAAAAATCACAGAGGGCAGGTACACCATAAAACAACAGTAAGTAAAATAGGTAAAAAAAGTAAAAAAAAAAAAGTTGGGCTTAGTCAACCTAGAGCTTTTCTAAACAGAAGTGTCTTAAGCTGTTTTTTGAAAGAATCCACTGAGTCGGCCACATGGAGAGAAAAGGGACAGAGCGTTCCATCATTTTGCATCATAATATTAGCTCAACCAAAAACCCAATTTCAATCGGATAGACTCAAGCCATGCACAATTTCTATAAATAATAGTACTAATGCTAATTTATTTTTAGTGGTTACAGTGGTCCAAAGTTATTCCTCACTTACCTTAAGCATATACTGAGAGCGCACATTCTGATTCTCTGACAAAAAACAAACAAACAAAAAAAAACACTTTATAGTTATCACACAGTTGTCCCATTTTGACCACAAATGCTGCTTTTACTAATATACATCTGTGCAAAGGAAAAAAAATTGGATACAGACAATTTAGGATCTTTATAACAATCCTACAGCAAATGGGAAATACTCATTCAAAAAAGTTCCCATTCTTTTTACACACTATTAAGTCCAGTACTTGCACTTTAAGGAGCCCACACTTGTCCTCTTCACCCACGAGCCCTCTCCTGCTCCTTTCCCGCCCCTGTCCAGCCCCTGTCTGCCCCTGTCCGTCCCTGTCCGTCGTCCTGCCTGTGGTCCATGTATATTTGTGTGCCCCGTTCGCAGACGGCCACAGGGACATTTGTCAGAGCCCAAACTGGAGTGGTCCCGGGTGTGCTAAATGGCCCAGCGTGTCGACAAAAGCTATTTTCTAAGTGGATGCCTTTCTCTTTACGTGCGTGTGATCGAAATCGTCCCAGGGCTATGCCGACTGGTAACAAGGCTGCCTCCTCCTGTGTCCTGTCCCTTTTCATGCATAGTTTATTTTCACCCACTAAACATGTGAAATGGGTGCACATTATTATACTTGTTTTACATTGTTTTACATTAAAATACATAGTTAAAGGTGCACTTTGTAACTTTTCTAGTACAATATCTTCTACCTGTTTGTGTCAGTGGGCATGGCTTGAATGTTTCACACGGTATGGCAACTATCACCATAAAGGCCAATTTACAAGTCAGATCTGGGGAGAGGTAGCCCCGATCACAGAAGGATTATATGTTTGTCAAGTTATTTTAAGTTCATCTGTAGTTAAAGAAATTAATGTGTATAAGTGTAATGCTCAGGGGTGAAAGAAGTACAAGTTAACAAGTGTTAAATGAAAAAATCAACTTATCAAAGTACATGTTTAAAAATGTACTTAAAGAGTAAAAAGTTAATTTTTGAAGCCTTATAACACTTCAAAAGTATTGATTTTGATAAAGATTTTTGCTTAATTTGATTCACTAGAAGCAATTGAATCATTTTTTCCAAACTGTTTTTCTTTGTATATTTTTGTTTGCTCAAACAATGAACGTGTTAAAAATAATCCCTCAGCTTTTTCAGTAGCTGTTATAAAAATACATTTACTTTTCAGTCCTGTTCAAAAATTTAGTGGAGCAGAAAGTCCAGATACCTGCTCTAGAAAACTATATTCACTTTAAAATCTATTCAAGTAAAGTACAGATACCTAAAATTTATACTTGAGGACAGTACTTTACTACTTTTACTTAGTTGTGTTCCACCACTGGTAATAACGGGCAAAGCCAAAACGTCTCCATGGACACTTTGAAGACTCTCCACCAGAAAAGTTGCATATTGGAAACTAAAGGTGAACATGACCATGCTTGTAGTATGAAAACTGAGTGTGATAGTGTAAAAAAGCATTCAAAAAGCTCTCTGTGGGTAATATGATAAAAGTCATTTATTGGTTACATTGGACAGTTCAACGCATTTTGACTTGGTATAATAAATCACCACTCACTGACCACTTTTTTTAAAAACTCTATCTCAGTAAGTTTTTATACTACAAGCATGGTCATGTTCACTGTTGTTGTGTTTAAGCCTTGTCCTTGAAGCGTCTGTTCTGCATTTGTAACTGAGAAAACCCCTAAAACTCTCATTCCTCTTGTGTTTTTATTTACTGTACATAATGCAACTTTAAAGGTCCTATATTACACATTTTTTGATCTATGTTAGAATGTTGTTTCCTCATCATAAACATACCTGGAGCTGTGTTTTGTTTCATTCACACATGTTCAACTCACAAATCCTGAATATTTGGCATAAGGCCTCCACTATGTTTTTAAACTCCATGCACCTTTGCTAGAATTAAAGGACTAAAGGTAAAAGGACTTGAAATAGGTTAAAAAGGTGGAGCAGATAATTTTGAGCTTTGGGGTTGTAGACAGACTAC